ATTGCGTTACTGGTAACGAGTAACGCAAGCGTTACTGCGTTACTAGAAAAGTAACGCAAAAAAGCGTTAAAGTAACGAAAGTAACGCTGCGTTACTCGTTACAAAAGCTATGAAAAATAAACGCATCTCGTTAGTAGTTACTGGTAACGCAGTAACGCATGCGTTACTCGTTACCAGTAACGCAACAACGCTTGCGTTACTCGTTACTAGTAACGCAATAACGCATGCGTTACTGCGTTACCTGTAAAGAAACGGTAAAGCGCCACCCCTAGTTCGGTTTAAACCGACACCGACGAAATCAAACATTCGAGAAATTTCATAGATGGTAGGCTCAAAAGGTACGANATGTGTAAAGATAGCTTAGATCGTCATGATTGCTAGCGTTAAACAGTTCTAAACGGAGAAAAAATCGTTTGAGATGGACGTTACGGAGTTCATCATCACGAATTTTTCATGCACAACCGACACCGACGAAATCAAACATTCGAGAAATTTCATAGATGGTAGGCTCAAAAGGTACGATTTCCCACATGGCTGGCCATCTAGCACTGGCAATGCACAGTAATAATAACTAAGAGGAGTGGGGAGCGATGGCAGATTAGAGTGAGTTGCTTCCCTTAGTTGTTATCTCCGTGCATTGTCAGTGCTGAATTCCTAGCCATGTTGGAAATCTTACCTTTTATGCCAAATGCAGTTATTACATTGTGGTTCTCTATTTGTGAAATTCTAGCACACGTTGGTTTCATATGAACGTTCCAAGTTTAGCACCGCAAATGTAGACAGATTGCTTGCTGTGCCTGAATTAACAACATTAACATATATCAAGAGAAAAGTTTATTGTTGAAATGCTCATAGACAAATTGCGGACCTGTTGAAAGAATTATGTTGTGATGCTCATCTGATGATCTAGCTGCTATATACAAGAAGCATCAAGTATTACGACCCTCAGGATGATTTATGTAAAAAGGCGTAAAACACTTCAACCTATAAGTATTTTGGACAATAAAATTTTCTTTCAATGCATGTTAGTATTGTAATTCACGCCCAACAAGCCGATTATCTACATTTTTTTCGGTCTTGAACTTGAAACGTTCATATCTTAGCGAAATAGGCCCATGAAAGAAAATCCTTTCAGGGTTCCTCTACTCTCACTAAATCCTACTTATGGCGTGAATATGAGCCTTAACGCTTTTAGTCAGTTGGTGGGGTTCCTCGTGACGGAAGTGACTCACTGGCATCTTCCTAAATTCCTGCTTTCCTTAAATTTGTGAATTCCTGCTTTCCTAAATTCCTGGCTTCCTAAATTGCTGAATTCCTGCTTATTTCATATCCTGCTTTCCTCAATACCTGAATTTCTTGCTTGCCGCTTCCTAGAATTATTTCTTTTGCCCAGTTCGTTATCGAGTTTCAAATCATCTGTGATTTATTGTTTATCATCGGCTTTAGTGTAGGAATTTGTGTGACGGCGAGCAAAAGTGAATTCTTGATGTTCGTTCAACAGAATTCCTACTTTTCTGATATCCGACGGGAAAAAGCACATCACGCTTAAAAATGACTTTCCGGGAAAGGGAAAGTTTGCATGACACCAATGGTCATCATGTGTCTATTACAATGGGCGTCACAAAACAAGTTGTTAACATATGCCCAAATTGACGAACGGACATCAACATTCGTTTGTGGTGGAAATAATACATCCGATCAACTACCAGTAATTAAAATAAAACACATGACCAAAGGACATTTAGTGGGAAATGCTGCACAAAAACTATTATTATTTCGATTATTCTCTATCATATTTGCCGACATTACAGATAATAATAGGTCGCTAACGTAACACATGTGAAAAACCAGGCGGCCTGCGTAAAATTGCTTATCCTTATTTTCTACGAAAGCTACTGAAGTACTGATAACGATCCTTTCTACAAATTATCATCATGTTACGAGTATAAGACCACTAAATTTGGAGCACTGTCAAAAAAGGGCGCGATCAAGTGAAATAAACTTGTTCCGTTTTCGTACAGTTAATAAAATATAATTTTTAATATAGGTTTATTCGTACAATTATCATTTTCAACAGCTAAACGCTTCGACATTTACCAATTTCTTCGTCACCAGCATAGCAACTTTTCAATTTGCGAGGTGAATTTTGGACACTGAACATTTTAGGCACTATAGAAACTGTGAAAATCTTTATTAGGTGAAATCGTTTTTGCATGGAGGTTTGATTTTTTCATTACATCGTGCACGAATTTATGTAAGCATTTTCAAAAAAACGAACCATTTTGAAGGAAACTTTTCGCTGGCAAGGTTGTTCAGGTCTGACAAAATTCTCACCGTGTGGGATCATGATTGGAGTATCTTATTTGGTTTTTTCTGTTTTTTCATTTCATTGTTTACGATGCCCATTCGGCATTTGTATCTTTATCATATAACACTAAATTTCTATTATCTTGTATAGTTAGTCGATATGGTATCCGAAGCCCATATTGGATCATTTCTTGAATAAATAAATAAACTATCCGCTGGTTGCATATCCAAACCAAACGGTCCTTTACCAGAAGAGTGCTTCCGTGTTCCGCTGCACCAAACATAAATATGATCTGGTCTAGTGTAAATACAAAGATTACCATCTGTTTGCATATAAACTTTATAAAAGCCATTATTTGATTGCAACGTTTGCCCTTCATTCAATACTCCTTCACTTAATGCTGACCGTCCACGTGACTTACACGCTAAAATGAAACTGATACTCGTGAACTATTTCCGAATGGTTAATTCGAGAAAAGTAAAATACGAAGAGCCAAAAGAAAAAGATGCACATTGTTACCTCCATATTGATCAGTAATCCATTATCGGTCTATATTCATAGAATATCACCTTTTGATATTAATTGATCGTTTGGATACATAATTGATTGTTTGTCTTTTTGTATTACGGTTTAAACCGCGCGCATGATCAGTTTCATGTACAGCAACAAGAAAGAAATATTTACTATCAAGATCGAACCTAAAAGAGATAGTCAACAACTATACATGAAATTTCTACATGTGATGGGCAAAACCTTACCTTCACTCCCGTTTTCAGCTCAATCAAAATAAATTCGTCCATCTTCTAGTGCATATGTATAAGCCAACGTTCTACTTGGACTATCTACTGGACCAAAATTAAAGGCAATATCAGCCCCACATCTTGTACAAACTTGTTCTGTATCTAATGGTATATGTTTTGTCTAATGGTCAAATGCATCTCGTACAATACTGAATGGTTGTGCATGAAAAATTCGTGATGATGAACTCCGTAACGTCCATCTCAAACGATTTTTTCTCCGTTTAGAACTGTTTAACGCTAGCAATCATGACGATCTAAGCTATCTTTACACATCTTTGCACATCTTGGTGCATTCAATAACTTTTTGGTTGATTTATCAAGTTTACCAGTATCTTTTATACGCAATGTTTTTTGGTAAGAAGGCATCCAAAGAACACTTACTCTAGACGAAAGGGGAAGAGAAGTAGATCTTGAATTTCTTTGTTTCAGACCAACCTTTAAGCGGAAAACAAACTGTAAAGTAAAACTTTTCGTATAATAGGGTACCAATTTTACATATTTAACCAAACAAGAATTTTTCTGCAAAAATATCAAAAAACTTGCGAAAAGATACATGAAATGCGTAATGCGCAAAATTTGAATAATGAAATAGTTTCTACACAGGTAAAGTTGGAGTTTTGGGTGTGGTCTCAATCTTGTAGATTTCCAATATCAATAAAAGTTTGGAAAAATTAATTCATAACCATCTGATCTCGTTCCTGACCTCTAGTAACTTTTTCTCATCGAATGAATTTCGTTTCCCATCAAATTGTTCCACAATCGGTCGACTACTTTAACTACTCACAGTATATATCAGCACTTAAGTAACCGACGCAAAATTATAACCCCTCCCTATCCGCGACAAATATTATGTGACTCAAACTAACCGAAGTCATCATCTTCACTCATAATCTTCGTCTATTTGCACAATACTCAAACGTTATCAAAAACTTTAGACCTTT